TAGTTTCACGATAGTCACGTGCTCGCCCACTGGCCAATCACAGCACACGCTGCACCTCACTGCAGAGCTGCACATGGAAACTGAGCTGCACATAATGCTGACGTACTTATAGGCCAGCTAGCAGGCTCTGACATGTCAAAGAATAAGCCCAACATGTCAAACTAAAGATCTGATTGGTTGAAGACTATGACAATCAACAATATCGTCCCCATTCACAATTATTAAATTATAAAATAGCTATAACTTTGTGATTGTGTTTAGGCCAGCAGAGAAGGCCTTGCAGGCCCTGACGGCCCACCACTGTGTAACTTAGATGGAGGTCGGGACGCTCCCAGCAATGTACTGCTGTGGACACAATTACACAAACCACCCAACCAGCCCTGTGTTCTGAGGTAAAATGACTGCTTTTCTCAATGGAGTCTTGTGGCTCAGACAGCACTGACAAACTGAAGCCATTATATCTCTCTCTTCAAAGTCACTAGACTCCATTGATGAAAACAAAAATGTTAGCACACAGAACATATGACTACAACCCCACTTCAAAAAATCCAAACAACGCCATCAGTTATTTTTAAACTTAGCACAGCAGATGTTGACTCAGCTGGAGCTAGTGTCCACTTGATTCATAACCTTATTGATTAGCTTAATATATTACTATTGGTAACCTACGTCACTGCTCTTTGCTAACGGCAGAGTGGGCGTTTCCATTTCAAAACACAAGAAAAGACAACTTAAATGGATTTTTTATTTGGGCCACTTGTCTACACCTGAACATTTTTTATCCTATTTTCTCTCTCTTTTTGCTCTCTTTTTGTTCACCACCAACTCCTGAGGGAAATATCCGTCTCTTTATCCGTCTCTACTCCTGGAAACCAGATTGATGTGAGTGGAGTTGAAACAAAAAACAAACAAACGGTGAAGAGACTCAAAGTAACTAAAGAGTGCTAAAGAGTGTTGTATCGGCATCACAGAAGGACAGTTTTCCTCTGTTCCAGTCCAGTTTAACTCTGATCCTCTGGAGCTTCTTCTTCACTGTTGAGGGATCTGATGAGTAGTTTGCTGTGTGTGTAATCCAACAGGTATGCAGTAGCATCGGACACTAAAGTCAAAAAGCTGTGAGTCCACCATCTGAATGTCATTGCTGATCTTGCAGATGGCCACAGCCTTTGACGCCCTGAAGACTATTGGAGTGATCCATGCAGGCCTAAAGACAAACAACATCATGCTGGTGGACAGAAAAGCTCAGCCACTCAGGGTGAAGCTCATCGACTTCGGATTGGCTGTTCTGACCTCTTTCGTGAAGCAGGGCAATTGTCACCAAATACCATCCCACAGGTGAGCTACAGAGAGACTCGAATCATATTCTTCTAAGTGAGTAGGCGATGTCTATCATCCACTCAAATATGGCAGTGTTCTTCATTCTGTACATTTGTTTCATTTTCAGGGCTCCAGAAATTGTTTTGGGACTTCCATTTTCAGAGGCCATCGACATGTGGTCTCTAGGTGTTGTGATGGCAGACATGGTGCTCGGTGAACCGATCTTCCTGGGCCGCAATGAATACAAGTCATTAGTTGCGTTTTCATTTACCTGTTTTTATGCGCATTATCAACTTGCGTTTAAAGAAACCTGAGTGGAAACGCAGAAATTTGGAAATGAAAATGCTGGTGTGTCGATAAAAGCAGAATGCGACAAAGTGCAATGGAAACAGATTGAAATCCATTGAAGAGATGGAAAAAACGCTCCACACAAAGCTGATGCAATCTTCCCAACATTAACATATTTTCACCTTTTGAGGTTCGACTGGTGCGTTTTTTATTATGTTGTGCCATTTCTTCTGCAATGGTATTATGGTTTCACCGACAGGAGAAATGGAGCCGCGTACTGCTTATCGCAATGAACCAACTCCTAATAATTGCATAACGCTGGTGTATGGAAACAAGCATTTATTTGTTTTCTTTTGAAGACTTTCTCGAAATTCGGTTAAAATTTGCAATATATTTTGACGGAAACCCGCCAGCACGGCGCTGGGTAAGTGTCTGTGTTCGCAAGTGGGCTGAATATTTTACTACTTTATATACAGTGAATTTATGAGTTTATAGTGAAAACATTTTAGGGCCCCATTGTAAGAAGGAATTTAGTCATAAATTCTCGCCTGATTAAATAAAGGTTGAAAAAAATAAGAAAAAAATATATTTTTCTAATCTATAACGCTCCAAAAAAGTGAAATAGGTAGTTAGGTAGTAGCTAGTTAGCCATGCATGATAATGTTACCTGTTAGAGCATTAGAGCAAATATACAGTACACACTGTTTCCATTAATTCCTTACACTTTTATCTTTTGTGTTTTTGGATTTGGGAGGGTGAAAAAACGCTTTGCACAACAAGTATCACTCTTACTTCAGCCCCATGCACACTCTTTTGACACTGTTTGACATCTGCTTCATCTTACAGTTGCTCAACTATGATTGGATTGAATCAAATTAGTTAATTTCACCAGTCTAATTATAATTAAAGATGTCTTTTATTACTGTTCTGACTCCTCATGAATGGGATCTGAACACATGATCAAGAATTTACGATCATTAGCATGTGATGCATTTAATTTGAATTGTAGCTTTGGTGATCATCAACATGTAACGTAACTTATAGTAGCTTTGTGCCTCTGAGTAACTGCGCCTGTCTTCATTCAACAGAACAAATGAAACCTCAGGAACAGCTTCAGCATTACCGCCAGCTGTTCTCTCTGCAGAACCTCCACAACCTGACAGCATCGTCGGAGGATGTAACTTGGTGAGGCCATTTCCTCTTCTCATGTCGGCCACATCAAATAGCGGATGACTTCCTTGTCAGCTGTCTATTGAATTGCTTGTGTCGTAATTCCACAGCTCCAGTGCCACCAGTGGATTTCACGGATCGACCCAGACACATTATATCCGGGTGTTATCATGGTGTGATCTTCACCGACTGAACAAAGTTGAGTGGAGCAACCCCCTAAATGTGACCACCCTTCCCTGGAACACAAACACAGGAACACAAAGAAATCCCTTCCACATCTGGTAGGAAATGCTTGCCTCCATGCGTGTCTGAATTGTCGAATTCTTTCACATTGTTGTGGATTCTACTGAAATTTCTTTTTGATTTTCAGACGACAAGAAGAAGAGAAAGAAGAAGAACTGCTTCAAGCGCTTCTTTTCATTCTTGACATTCTGCTGCTGCATCACTGTCGACGATGAAGAGGTATGAATCGCACTATGAACACAACACCTCTCGCGATGGATTTTTACACAGGAAATGTAGAGAGTAAGCACATGATGGCATCATGAGTGTTAAAAATATAAAATTATAAAATAAGATAGAACTTTATTATGCCGGAGATTAATAATAAGAAGAATAAGATAAAAAAAATAATTAGACAAAAAATATAAACACATCACACTTATACTTTCTATTGACACTGGAGGCCATCTGTCAGGAGCGATGTTGGAGATACGTTCATAGTTGCTGAGGTTATGAAGGCAAATCAATGTCAAAATCTGCAAGCACAAATGAGATCCAAGCATGCGTGTGTCTGTGTGTGTGTGTAGAGGTCCTCCCACGCGTGCAAATCAAACAGCCGTGTACATTGTTGTGGAAGATTTCTATGTTAATCGGGAGAAGAAAGTTTTCGTTCACAAAGCAATAATAAAGTCTTCAGAAGATTCAAAGTTGTCTTTCTCCGTTTATTCTCTTGCAAGAGGGAAGAGAATACCACAGCTACGTATTCAGTAGACGGTGGCAAAGCTTTGACTAAGTTCAACATTCAACATCATTTTATGCATACAGAGGTTCACACCTTTAGATAAGACATTCATAGGGGAGTACAGGTCTTTTGACAAAGGCTGTCTTGATCTGCTCATTATCTGGAGTCTGCCAGGTGCGTTCAACTGAGAGTCAGTTACGGTTTCAAGGTCTGTCTCAAACTTGCCATACAGACAAAGGAGACAGTGTGTCTTCACTTCTCGTTCTTGTGTGTATACAATAAGTAAAACTGGTCGAGGTCATGTCCATATATCGTACAATAAGTCAATAACATAAAACTGGTCGAGGTCATGTCCATATATCGTACAATAAGTCAATAACATAAAACTAGTCGATAATGTAAAACTGGTCGAGGTCATGTCCATAAATCATAAGATAAGTCGATGCACTTGTTTTGTACTCACTTTTCTACACAATAAAAAGAATGAAGCTGTCATGAATAGTCTGTACTTGATGGAAACTTGGAGGCAACAATGTATAAAATGCATTATGGTGGGGAGAGGGGTGTTTGCCATGAGGCCCCAAACGGTTCCATCTGGTCATGAAATGACTCCTGGAAAATAAGATAAAAATCATATTTACTCATCAGATTCTTACAATAGCATAGTTCAATCCCAGTGAATGTCACTATATACAAAATAAATACACTGAGAAACCTTGTAGTTCTAAGAGTTCTTGCTGCCCCTCCAGTGGTAAAACTGAAAGTGTCAATAAACAGCCTCAACTCAGTAGCAATTTATGACCATGTAGGTTTGGATTTGTTTTTCCCCTTAATAATAAAAACCTTCATTTAAAAACTGCATTTTGTGTTTACTTGTGTTATCTTTGTCTAATATTTAAATGTGTTTGATGATCGGAAACATTTAAGTGTGACAAACATGCAAAAAAATAAGAAATCAGGAAGGGGGCAAACACTTTCTCACACAACTGTATGTCTAAAAAAAGCTATGTGTGGCACAGAACTGGGTGCAAAGACTGTTTATCAACATACCAAGCCCAGTATAAAGTGACACTAAACCAATAAACTGTGGGAAAAAAAGAACCACTGGTTCCCAACTAGACCCAGTGACATCCCTGCTGTCCTGTGGACACGTTCAAAACATACACGAAGCCCAGCAGCACACTTCAAACCTTTAGATATGAAGAAAACAAGAACATTTGTCTCACCTATGTGATGCCGACTACATCAGTATCCATGATTGATCTTTTTATAATGCTCCTGAAACATGGATTAAAAATGTCGATATTAAATGTGAACCAGTTAGAACATAATCACTGCCTTCAACGACACTCAACTCAATGGAAAAACACTCAGTGGCCACTTTATTAGGTACACCTGTACAATCAAACGCAGTTTCAAAAACCAATTCAGCAGCCCTGCTGTAATGTCCATCTTTACAGAGCTCACCCGCTCTTGTTGACATGGCCAGAGATGTCTTCATTTAATTACATGTTTATTACTGAGGTAATAGTTCAAGGTGCTGTTGGATTACATTATAGTAAGAGGAGTTTAAATACATGACAGGGACAGAATATAAGAAACACCTCTGTATATAAGGCAGTCCAGTACAGTGCCAAGACTAACTAAAACAAATGACTTTAATGAACCATGATTGACAGTGTCAACAAAAACTGATCATCGTAAAAATAGACTTTATGGCAAAGACGTTGTATTGGATTCAAGATTGAATCTAATTCTGGTCTTGTGTTTGATGACCTCTCATCAAACAGGTTCAACCTGATGATGCATTAATGTTGCAGTGACGTCCACTAAGATTTCATTTTAAGGGAACATCTCTCTACTATGATGCTGTCATTTGGTCTATAGTGAGCCTCTGAACACACAACAGCAGACCCATGAGTCTGAGCCACAGGAGCACCGTCAAGGCCTCATGGGAGCTTCAGCTGAATGGCAACAAACGCACAACTTTCCTGTTGAGCTCTATGTATTGCTAATAGCTCATACTTTGTAATTATAATTATTAAATGAATCTGGAAGCAAAGCCAAGCATCTCCTGATGTCTTATTGTGAATGCATGTTGGGACAGTGTAGACATGATGGATCCAACACTCTGATCTATTGATGGTGCAGTGTGGGTTACCATGGTGATACAGGCCCCAGCTCTCACAAATAAAACCAACAATCTGCACTACTGTCCAGTCTGCCATGACAGGAGCGAGTCAGCATGTTTCAGGGTCTGCTTCATGTGAACAGATCCAGACAGTCATCCAGCTCTGGCACAAGGCTGGACCCGTCACCATGGCAACAGTCAGCCCGACAGTGTTCTCTCTTCCGCCTCCGTTTGTACACACTTGTTTTCTTCTTCTCCTCCTTTTGTTCTTCTTCCCCCCTCTCTGTCTCCAGTCTAGTGTCTTGTGGTTCCTGAGAGATGGGAGGATTTGGGATCTGTAGCTTTTGTAGTTTCTCTGTAGTCAGGGCTGACTGGAGATTCTGGTAGAACCTAGAGATGACCAAATAAGTAAAAAAGTCAGAGCTGCCTGCAGCATGTTTGAATTCTGAAGTATAGAATTAGTGAGAACTAGTCTGAGTAGGAGAGAGCCATCAGCAGACGGACCTGTGGATCCGTCTGAGGTTCTCCTCCATCTTCTGATTGGCTATCCGAGTTAGGAAATGGATGTACTCGTGTTCAACCAGGAGCTTTCCTTCGTGGCTGAGAGGAACCTCCAGGCAGTGGGTGCTTCGGACAGCCTAGAGGGACAAAATACATTCACGCTTTTTACACAGTATAACGCAAGCAACACATGCAGCAAAGCAAGAGGGATGTTCTACTGCATGGATTGTCCAAAGTTCAACTGAATATTAAATGAAAACGAATGGTTCCGATAGTGATGGCATCCTGGAAATGTCATTGATGTCACAGAGCCTACCGTGATGATTTTTCCTGTCTTGCTGACAGTGAGACCAGAGTTCCTGAAGCCTGAGTTGATGGCCACTGAGTGCTAGAGAGACAATGCATGTTAATGACAGAGCGGTCCATTTATTTAATTAAAATACATTTATGTTGAACCCTCCCTGACAAGTCCATGTTCGTTAAATCAACACTGTGATCGTTCAACAATACACACAGACACACAAACTGTCATCCTCACCATCAGCTGAGCGTCATCCAGCCGCAGACACTGAACATGGAGTACAAAGGGCTCAAACTTAAACACTGCATCTCCACTGGACCTGGCCAGACCACCCATCTGAGGAACAAACACCATTTGCTCTTGTTAATATCAAATCCACATTATTAGATGAAAAATCAGTAGTGCAGAAGTCCATCATATCTCACCAGGTCCTCAGATCTGCATTCCTGGTGTGAGACAAACAGCCAAACGCAATTCTGTTTGAGGACATGACTGCTCTCTGGAGCCTAGAAGAGAGGACACGAGACAGGGATATAAAAGACAGACTTAGACACAGTGCTGTGGTAATAGACAATGTCATCTGTACCCGGCTAGAGCTACGTGAACCCTGCCTCTAACAAAAGTCAGTCCCTAACTAGTTCCCCAAGGTGCAGTTGATAGCTTGTTAGCCTGAGTAACGCCTCCCTCACCCCGTCGATGAGGACGACTCTGCCGGAGCAGGAGCTGGTGGTGAAGTACTCCTCACAGCTGTTGAGCAGAGACACTACATGTGCAATATCCTCATCCACGCTGCCCTTCTTACTCTGGTCCAGCTTGTTCAGACACTGATTCTTCCACTGACTGAACATTTTCTCCATAGCTAACGTTAACGTTAGCATTTAGTGTGGCTACAGGCGTTTCAGCGTCACGGTGTGTTTTTCCACAGTGTGAGCGGACGGGGCAACAATGTGTTTAAAAGCTCGGGACTTTAATGACAAAAGCAAAACAAACTTTAAATTGCATCTATTACATGCTACGCTTTGTAAACATTAGCTAGCCCTGCTATCCCACGGTGTTGTTTCTCCTTCTTGTGCGAAAACGGCGGCCAAGATATCAGCCAATGGTGTACAGCGCCGCCTGCTGTACTGGAGGCGATGTTCAGCATATCAATCAGTTACTGGTGTCATATTCTAACTTTTTAGTGAACACTTGCTAATGAGTCGCTGACAAAGCCGTGCTCCATGTACACGACCATGTATGGAATTAGACTATTGGTAAACTGGCACATTCCTATATATGATGATTGGAAAAAACAAATGTGTTGGATTATAAATGATTTAAATTGTAATTTGTTGTGTTGATGCATTTTTTTGTATATTTAAAATAAATTAATTTTATACAATAAAATTTAAGTATTCATTTAAAATGGAAGTATCCTGTAGAAACATTTCACAAAATTATACAGTCGACAGAAAGCTTATGATTTATACCTTTAATTGAAAATAATTGACAAATAAATACAAAAAATCAAATAAAAAGTCCTCCCCAAATTCAATCAATAAGTAAAGTAAGTGAAATAAACTACTATCTATTCATATTGTCCATTCAAAATACAATTGCAGTTCTTGCAGTAACTATAATTGTTTTCATGATTAATTTATGTAAATAATCAAATTCCCAGGAGCTGTATCTATTCATCATGTATTCAATTGTATAATGTACTGTTTTGTATTGTATTGGACTCCATACATCCATCCATTTTCCTCCGCTTATCCGGGGTCGGGTCGCGGTGGCAGCAGGCCAAGCAGGCTGACCCAGACTTCCCTCTCACCGGCAACATGTTCCAGCTCATTCTGGGGGATCCCAAGGCGTTCCCAGGCTAGCCGGGAGATGTAATCCCTCCAGCGTGTTCTGGGTCTTCCCCGGGGTCTCTTCCCAGTTGGACGTGCCTGGAAAACCTCCAGTGGGAGGCGTCCAGGAGGCATCCTAATTAGATGCCCGAACCACCTCAGCTGACTCCTTTCGACGCGAAGGAGTAGCGGCTTGACTCCAAGCTCCCTCCTGATGACCGAGCTCCTTACCCTATCTCTAAGGCTGAGCCCGGCCACCTTACGGAGGAAGCTCATTTCGGCCGCTTGTAGCCGCGACCTTGTCCTTTCGGTCACTACCCAGAGTTCGTGACCATAGGTGAGGGTAGGAACGTAGACCGAGTGGTAAATTGAGAGATTTACCTTCCGGCTCAGCTCCCTCTTCACCAAGACGGTCCGGTGCAGCGCCTGCTTTACTGCTGAAGCGCACCGATCCGCCTGTCGATCTCCCGCTCCATCTTACCCTCACTCGTGAACAAGACCCCGAGATACTTGAACTCCTTCGCTTGAGGTAGGCACTCCATCCCCACCTGGAGGGAGCAATCCACCGGTTTCCGGCAGAGCACCATGGCCTCAGATTTGGAGGTGCTAACTCTCATCCCCGCCGCTTCACACTCGGCTGCAAACCGCCCCAGTGAATGCTGGAGGTCACGATCCGAGGAGGCTAACAGGACCACATCATCTGCAAACAGCAGAGAGGCAATCCCGAGACCCCCGAACCTGACGTTCTCCGCCCCCAGGCTGCACCTAGATATCCTGTCCACGAAAGTCACGAAGAGGACCGGTGACAAAAGGCAGCCCTGGTGGAGGCCAACACCCACCGGGAACATGTCTTACTTATTGCAGAGAATGCGGACACAGCTCCTACTGCGGTCATACAAAGACCGGATCGCCCGTTGTAATGGGTCCGGCACCCCGTACTCCCGCAGCACCCCCCACAAGAACCCCCGAGGGACCCGGTCGAAAGCCTTCTCCAAGTCCACAAAGCACATGTAGACTGGTTGGGCAAACTCCCAGAACCCCTCCAGTAGTCTTGTGAGGGTAAAGAGCTGGTCCACTGTTCCACGGCCGGGACGGAATCCGCATTGCTCCTCTTGAATCTGAGGTTCGACAAATGGTCGGAGCCTCCTTTCCAGCAGCCTGGCATAAGCCTTCCCCGGGAGGCCGGGAGGCTGAGTAGTGTGATACCCCGGTAATTCGAGCACACTCTCCGGTCCCCCTTTTTGAAGATGGGAACCACCACCCCAGTCTGCCAGTCCATGGGCACTGGTCCCGACCCCCATGCGACATTGAAGAGGCGTGTCAGCCAGGACCGCCCAACCATGTCCAGCGATTTCAGCATCTCAGGGCGGATCTCATCCACCCCCGGCGCCTTGCCACCAAGGAGCTTTTTAACTACCTCAGCGGCCTCTGCCAGGGATATGGGTGAGCCTCCCCCTAGATCTTCAGGCACTGCCTCCTCTGCAGAGGACATGTTGGTCGGGTTTAGGAGTTCCTCAAAGTGCTCTTTCCACCGCCCGACGATGTCCCCCGTCCGGGTCAGCAGCCCCCCCCCCCCCCTGCTGAGAACAGCCTGGGGTAAGCCCTGCTTTCCCTTCCTGAGACGTCGGATGGTTTGCCAGAACCTCCTTGAGGCCAACCGAAAGTCCTTCTCCATGGCCTCCCCGAACTCCTCCCATGCCCGAGTTTTAGCATTCGCGACCACCACAGCTGCAGCCCTTCTGGCCTGCCGGTACCTGTCAGCTGCTTCAGGAGACCCCTGGGCCAACCAGGCCTTGAAGGTCTCCTTCAGCTTGACGGCTTCCCTCACCTCCGGTGTCCACCACCAGGTTCTCGGGTTGCCGCCACGACAGGCACCGATGAACTTCCGGCCACAGCTCCTAGCGGCTGCGTCCACAATAGAGGCTTTGAACATGGTCCATTCGGATTCCGTGTCCCCAACCTCCCTCGGGATGTGTGAGAAGTTCTTCCGGAGGTGGGAGTTAAAGACCTCCCGGACAGGGTCCTCCGCCAGATGTTCCCAGTTCACCCTTACTACACGTTTGGGCTTGCCGGGTCTTTCCAACCGGTTCCCCTGCCATCTGATCCAACTCACCACCAGGTGGTGATCAGTTGACAGCTCTGCTCCTCTCTTCACCCGAGTGTCCAAGACATACGGCCGCAAATCAAATGATATGACTACAAAGTCGATCATTGATCTCCGGCCTAAGGTGTTCTGGTACCAGGTACACTTATGAGCCACCTTATTTTCGAACATGGTGTTCGTTATGGCCAAACCGTGGCAAGCACAGAAGTCCAATAACGAGACACCATTCGGATTCAGATCGGGCAAGCCGTTCCTCCCAATCACCCCCCGCCAGGTTTCTCCGTCGTTGCCCACGTGAGCGTTGAAGTCTCCCAGGAGAACTATGTAGTCGGTAGGCAGCGCCCTTTCCAGGACCCCTCCCACCGACTCCAAGAAGGCCGGATACTCTGAACTGCTGTTTGGTGCATAAGCACAAACCACAGTCAGAGCCTTGCTCCCCGCAACCCGTAGGCGCATGGAGGCGACCCTCTCGTTCTCTGGGGAGAACTCCAACACAGCGGCGCTCAGCCGGGGGCTCGTGAGTATCCGCCGACGAGCTCCCCTCCTGGGTCTGGCTCCGGGAGGGTGCCCCGGTTTCCCTGGTCCGGGCGAGGAGGCTGAAGTACGTGGGCTGCTTATCATTAGGGTCGTTTTGAACCGTTCTTAGTCTGGGCTCTCCCCTGAGACCTGTTTGCCTTGGGAGACCCTACCAGGGGCTAATGCCCCGGACAACATAGCTCCCAGGATCACTGAGCCACTCAAACTCCTCCACCACGTTAAGGTGGCGATTCAACGGTATAACCTGAATGTGACACCTGTGTATTAATTATGTAGTTTGCATGATATTCTGTAAAATGCTTTGGCAACAACATGTTTAATTAAGCTAAATGCCAATATGACTAATTGAAAAGGAAGCTAATTGAATTGAATTGAGAGTGAGAATGAAAAGGAGAGAGAAAGAAAAGAGAGAGACAGGCCCTCATAGTGACTGCATCCAGAGCCACACCAATGAAGGTTATGCTCTGAGAGGGGCTCAGAGAGCTCTTTTCCATGTTCCCCCTGAGACCCAGCCGGGCCACTTGAAAGAGAAGGCGAGCGGTATCCTGTACCGCCTGAAGCTGGGATGGCACACAATTCAGCCAATCTTCCAGGTATGGCAGTTACCTCATGCCCTGTGATTGCAGGGGGGAAAGGGCAGCAGCAATGCACCTTGTGAACACTCGTGGGGAGAGTCCGAATGGAACCACCCTGAACTTAAAGTGACGGCCTTGAAAGGCGAAAAAAAGAAACTGTCTGTGGTAAAGCACAATGGGAACATGGAAATAGGCCTCCTTCAAGTAGACAGACGTGAACCACTCTCCTCCGGAAACAGCACACATGTGCTCAAGTTGAGCACAACACTGTGCTCAACATGTAAATGGACTGGACTTGTACAGCACTTTTCTAGTCTTTCCGACCACTCAAACTACTTGTCGTCATCATTCACCCATTCACACCCATTCATACGCTGATGGTAGGGGCTACCATGCCCACCATCAGGACGAACTAACATTCACACACAGGCACAGCTATGGTTGCAATTTTGGACACATCGACATGTGACTAGCATGGAGCCGGGGATCAAACCGCCGATCCTTTAATTGAAGGACGACCCTGCTCTCCACTAAGCCACAGTTGCCCCCGTGGAATGGCAAGACCTTCAGGAACTTGTTGAGTCCCCTCAGATCCAGGACTGGACCCAGTCTTTTTTTTCGCCTCTATTTTTTTACACGAGAAAATAGATTGTGTAGAACCCCCAGGCTGTGACAGATTGTCCCCTTGGCCAGGGGCGCAGACAACTCTTGGCTCAGGGCTTGGGCTTTTCCCGGATCAGTGATGATGGTCATTTTGACCCGGCTGAAAGCTGGGGGTCAGCGTCAGAATAGAGGCTTGTACCCATGGGTTTGGGTGGAAACCGCCCAGAGGTCTGATGCATGAGCTGCCCATGTAGCTGATATGCTGCTGGGAGAAATAACAAACAGCTGGCCCGGAGACATCAGCTCCTGGCCCCCCTGGCGGTTAGGCCTCTCAGTGGGGCGCTGAGGTCAATGGCAGCTACTAGGGTGAGCTGGGGGCTGAAGGTGGCTTTGGGGGGGCCTACATGGGACCCCTAGGCCTGCAGGGTGGGGGCATGTCCCTGTGAAGACCAGAGTACTGCTGTCTGGTCTGATTAGCTTGAACAGTCTGCTGAAGCGACCCTAGAGCAGCTGAACTGAACAGCTCCCCGGGTTACACTGGGACAGTACGGAGTAGTGCTGGGCGGTACCGGTGTTAATTTCCCGTATGATATGAATTTT